TCCCTGCTACTATTCTTTTACTCACGGTTATCGAAGTTCAATCCACAACACTGAAATCCGTAAGTTTGTCACTACACAACACTTCACTTGTATACCGCACTGTCCTATTTTCGTTAACACTTCCTAACTTCCTACTACGCACTCACTTATCCGACTCGTAGGACCACTTTGTTCCGAGGAATTACCGACTAAATTAAACACAATTTGAAGGTATGAATCTGTAATAAAGAACTGACTATACTTTAAAAAACAACAATATTATGATACAGAAAAACCAATTTGTATAGCGCGAGTTAAGTTACAATTAGCGCCATCTGTTCATAGAAGGTAAAATCTCGCCGACAATGTACATCGAATAAGTTTAGGGATAACATTTATACTAATATGTATTTTAACTAAGACCTTAAATGAATACGTGTTTCTTAAGAGACCTTTAAGATAATATCTTGACTTGCAGTCGATCTTTGCCCGAACAACCGAGCTGAACAACGGCGGCTTGGACTGATTATAGTTTTGGGAAAGGAAATGGGGGAAATATGTCATCAATTATTCTCATATTTCCTGTAGGCAATGCTTGAATGTATATCTTTTATTTTTTATGTAATACAGGCTGTATTTGATATACTTACAGACATATAAATCTAGAGTGATTTACCGAGAATACTATTAACATAAAAACCCTAAGAATATCCAATGGAATTTTTGCATTTTCAAAATTTTATTGAGTTGGTTCAATTGCAGGACAAAAAGGAATCACATAGCGTTATAAATGTTTTACGTGAAATATGAAATGTATTAAAAATAACCCTGTTGTTAGCTTATTAATGTCTACTGCAGAGCACTTATCGATACGTGGCTAAGGCTATTATATCATACTTCGATAGTCGTTAATCCCACACGAATTTTTTTCAACTTTAATTTTCATATGCTTAAGTGCTTATAGTTTTGTTAAAACGAGCCTGCTGAGCTTCAACACTGAAATTATTAATTGTAAATTGTGCTGATTTAATATGTAGTTGGCGGCGAAACAAAACATTAAGAGGAATTCTGTATCTCTAAGCTTGAGTCACTGGCACTGCGAAGAGATGTTGCATCTCTTTGCGTATTTTATCGCATTTACCACGGGGAGTGCTCCAAATAATTGTTCGGACTAATTCTATCTGCACAATTTCACCATCGCACATCGCGACAAAACTCGCAATACCATCCATTCCATCTGGTTGACTGTCGGTCCACCACTGTGAGATTTAAAATAAGTTTTCTTTTTTTAAATCCCACAGTGGAACTTTCTTGTGAAATCGACTGCCACCAGAGATTTTTCGGGACCGATACGACATAGGGACCTTCAAGAAAAGAGTGTACTTCTTTTTAAAAGGCCCGCGACGCATTTGCAATTTCTCTGGTGTTGCCGTTGTTCATGGGCGGCGGTAATCACTTACCATCAAGTCAGCCGTATGCTCGTTTGCCCCTCTCCTATAAAAAAATCATCATGCTCCTGCGCATCTCCTGTTTATTTTCCTACGGTAGTTCTTAAGGAGCAACGTAAGAAGTTATTTGTGCTACTCATAATCCTCTTTAATTGAGGGCAGGTTTGTAACAATTCATCATTACCATTATTACAGCCCTTCACAAATCTACTGCTGAACATAGGCCTCGCCCAACGAATTTCATAAAGTATGAACCTGAGGAACCTGCATACATCGACTTCCTGCATGTAATACCAGGTTGTCATTCCTTACAGTGGTAGTCGCCCTACACTTCGCCTATTGGTACGAGGCTTACACTCGAGAACTTTTTTCTTATCGGTTGCAGGCATCGGTTATTAAGTGGCAGCATTGTTTCCAGAACACCTGAGATTTTGAGTGAGATTAAGATTCTATGGGCAGCAGTAGACATTATCTTTGTAACCACGTGTAAGTGAAAGTAATGATCCAAGAGCAATACTTATCCGACACTACTCCGATGACATTCTGGACGTCAGTCTGACCGACATTAGAATGGCTCTCCAGCATTTTAAAAGCTTCCGAAAGCGAGTGAAAAACCAGTATTTGAAGTCCTTCAGATGCTCATTAATTCCGTACACCATGATGGTACTACTCCGGAGGCATGGAGCAGTGATTACAGTTCTCAGTAGAATGCGATGGTTATATTCTTCAAGAAAGGTGACAACGCTCTCTTGATGAACTACAGACCGATTTCTTTTCTGAGCCGCGTCTACGTACGCTTTTGAGAGTCTTTACGAATCATTTCGCACGCAGACTCGACGACTTCCAGCCTTCCGAACAAGCCAGATTCTGAAAATACTGTAACAATTTATAGGACGTATTTTAATAGAATAGGCGTATTGTAAATTTGAAACAGGCTTAAGATATTACAGGTGACGCATTTTGATTTTTCAATGTGAGCAATACGTTGAGCTATTTAAAAATTAGTCAACACAAATGGTAAAATTTAAAATTTTGTACAACCTACTTCAACTTAAATAAAATGAGTAAATCATCAATGTAGTCGAAGTCAATTAAATACGCGTTATTAAAGATATCTAGAAACTACTGGTCAGATCGTGATTAATGATTTACATGGGACCACATGACACCAGCTTTTACATAAAAAATGAATCATCAAAATCGGTTCGCCCATAAAAACGTTCTGAGGTAACACACATTAAAAAATACACTCGAATTGAGTACCTCCTCGTATTTTTAAACTCGGTAAAAAGTATAACTTCGTGGCGCAGTGGCTTAGCAATCAGTTGTTGCGCTGGGGGCCGCGGGTTCGAGTCCCGTACGGAACAAGTATTTGTATGGCCTACAAATAATTGTTCCGGGTCTGGATGTTTGTCCTTGTACAATTTATGTTTGTAAACTGCCTCCACGACACATGAGAAAATCCTAGTGTGGGGGTAACGTTTTTTAAAGCTGAATAGAGAATAGAGAATCTCCATTAAGAAATTCAAAGGCTCCACGAAATACTTCTTTACCGTGACAAAGAGCCCGCACACTCAGCTCTCATAACGTAAGAGTTCTTGGACAGCACGCTGATTAAGCTGTTGTATCACTTTTACACAACTGACTTTTTTAAGCATTGTGTGTCTTCGTTTATTCCCTAAAATAAAAAGTCAGCTAGAAGCGATATCGCCGGAAAATGCACTAACAGCGTTCGAGCAGGCCGTAGAAGGGGTGCCTGCAAAAATATTTTAATAACTAAAACAACTAAACCTTTTATTACTTAAAAAATCAAGCTTCACCTTAAATATATTAATATTTTGTTTTGTCAAATCAAAAAGATAACATACACCACTAATACTAGTATTCATAATTATTATGTAATACAGACAACAGTTTATTTCTATTCTATGTAGGTTGCAGCTTTTACTTTTACAGTTTAAATTAACACAATCTACAACCAGCACAGTTGCTATTTTTCACATTTCTAATTCAGAGTAGAATAGTAGTTTTGCATTAAGCGGACGCAAGGGTGCAATTTTAAACATCATACAAACCGTTGGCAAAGTTTTAACAGAACAATATATTGTACTATGCACTTGTGCTCTGCAGCCTATATACTAGGAGAAGGGCTTTAATAATACAGTACAATAAAATAAAATATTTCGAGTTTATAATATGTATGAAAAAATCGCGAATTATTACCTCAATGGTCGTACAAATATTGGAATTTTTGATTATGATATTTATGGAATCGTTTCGATGTCTGCCCGTCGATTATTACCAAGTACCAACGTTCTCTCCGATATTCCCACGATTGAAAATTCTTATTGATATAATGAATAGTTACCTAAATATTAAATTATATTTTTAATATATTAAAATATTATATTAGTAAGCTCATAAATCTTATTTTCTACTTAATGTAGAATTCACTTCTTGATTAATAAAATAAACGCGGATTTAAAAGATTGACATAGATTTATTCTTCACAAGTTACTCTCTCGGATGTTACAACACGAATGCCTTATGAACTAATGCTAAAATCAACTTTGACAGTTCTCAAAACCATCGGTCATAGACAAATGCGGTATCGATGTTTACATCGATACTTTGCCTTTAAACAATCGATTTCCATAACGAATAATAATAAATCATTATAATTATTACAGAGGCATAAGTAAAGAAATATAGTGATATAATTATCCTTAACATAATAAGTATGTTAACAGTTCGGCCATCCTAAAATAAGTGAGTCCTCTCACTTGATTTATTACAAGATGATATTATTAGCTTTTGTAAAATTTAGTAAAATTAACATAACAATATCTATTGGCGTTATATAATTTAACAATAATACATTTTGTGTTTATACACCTTACAAAAATAGGAAGACAAGAGTGAAAAATAAAATGCTAAACAAAATAAGTAAACTATGCATATTGGCGTAGTCTGTTACGATCTGCAACCATCTGTGAACTATTTTCACTGATTGCTCGCAACCTAAACCCTGTAACTTGTTATTTATATTTTCTGAATAGTCATGCATAGTCTGCTATGATCTGCGATCATCTGTGGGTTCTTCACTGATCACTCATAGCCTATGTCATTCGATATATTGGCGTAGTCTGTTACGATCTGTAATCATCTGTGAACTGTTTTCACTAATTACTCGCAACCTAAGCCTTATAATTTTTTTTAATACCTATCCATAGTCTGCTATGATCTGCGATCATCTGTGAGTCCTTCACTGATCGCTCATAGCCTATGTCATTCGATGTGAGTGTACTGTCTGTCACGATCTGCGATTATCTGCGCGACAACACTAACCGCTCACGACCCATACACATCTATAAATCTTTCACCACTACAGAATAGTCTGTTTCTATGTGCAGCCATCCCTACCTTCATTATACACTAATTACTCGTAACTTACAGGTTAATCAACATTTTGTAAGGTTTAGGCCACCTTCGAAACGCATCAACTTTATGGAATCAACAAAAACGATATAATTACATAACGAAATTCATCAAACATCATTTTTATTATTCAATTTACTCATTACTTAAGTCGGTACCAGCGTCACTATCACTATGGTCGTTGTCGCTTCCGCTTGAAATAGCTTTATAATTTAACCAAGGATGTATTTTATCCAGAGCTACTACGTTTTCATACCGCCTTTTCCCTTTTCTGGTTAAAGGCGTATCCTCAACAAGAAACCTATCATTCGGTAGTAATTTCTTAATCCTATAGGGGCCATTAAATTTCGATAATAATTTTTTTGATTTCCCTAAGTGTTCTCTATCAATAACTGTTCTCTCAATTCTAATTAAATCGCCTTCTTTATACTGTGTTGCGTGTTTCCTCCGTTCATCAAATGCTCTTTTTGAATTTTCTTGTTGCTTCTCTATTCTATCACTCGCTGCAGATCTCATTTCCACTAAATTTTCTCCTTGCGTGTATTCAGTTGTCGGGCTTATAACATCTCCGAGAATGGTCTCTGACACATTCATTAGTTTATAACCGAACAATAACTCTGAAGGACTTTTGCCAGTTGCCCTGTTCACTGTTGTATTCATTCCTAACTGTATATCAGCTATGTACTCATCCCAGGTGTTATCATTTTTACCATGACATTTAGTACTTAAAGCATCCGATATCGTCCTATTGTACCTTTCCACTTGTCCATTGGCCCGCGGTGTGGCAACTGCATTTAATATATGTTTCAAAACTAAGCTCCTTGTGAATGACTTAAATTTTGCGCTCGTAAAGCATGTGCCTCTATCTGTTATTAGTCTGGATGGGACTCCAAAATAGCTAAAATGTTCTCGGAATATTTTAATTGCGGTTGTAGATTTTGTGTCCCTAACAGGTTTAATATTTATAAATTTTGTGAAAGCATCTACAATGACCAAAATGTACGTGTTGCCTCTTCGAGATCGTACAAAAGGGCCTAAATGATCGGCATGTAGTGTATGGAACGGTACTTCAATTTTGGGAATGGGATGGAGCATACCTTCCTTCCTTCCACCTGGGGCCTTATGATGAGCACATTCGAGACATGATGTTACATATTTTTTTGTAAAACGCCTCATTTTGGGAAACCAGAACATACCTTGCAGACGACTAATAGTCTTATCAAAACCGAAGTGTCCTACTTCGTCGTGGTTCATACGTAATACCTGCCACCTTACTGGCCTCGGTACTACCCAGCGGATACTATTATCAACTATACGGTAAACATGGTCTCCTTTTAACTGGTAATTTTTATAAATATCTGCAACGGATTTCGTGCGACTATCTTGTAGTACCTCCTTAATGCCCTTAATTTCATCATCATTACTTTGAACTGTTGCGATCCAGTCCTTTACATCGATTTGTAAAACATCAATCACCCGCGATTCATCTTCGATGGAGGGTTCGTTCACAGGGCTACGACTTAGAGCATCAACGTGTGTCATTCGTGACCCTGCTCTGTACTCAATATTGCAGTCGTATTCCTGGAATCGCACCCACCAACGTGCTATTCTGGGTATCAAATCCCTTTTCGTAAGCGTGGTTCGTAGCACATTACAGTCGGTAACAATTTTAAACTTTATACCTAAAAGATATACGCGAAATCGGTTAAGTGAGTTGATGACGGCAAGAGTCTCTAATTCGAAGGAATGGAGACGCTGTTCTTCCGTGGTAGTTTTCCGACTATAATACGCTACCGGTCTGAGCAATCCATCCCGTCCCATTTGCATGAGTATTCCGGCAATGCCTTGTTTCGACGCATCTGTGTGCAATTCAGTTTCCAAATTGGGATCATAGAGCGCCAACAACGGTCTTTCCACTAACTTCTTTTTTAACGTCTCAAATGCTTTTATATGCTCATGAGTCCAAGTCCACTCAAAACTTGCCTTTAAAAGATCGGTAAGAGGTCGTGCTATAAGAGCAAAATTTTGAACGAAGCGTCTAAAGAAGCTGGTAAGCCCGATAAATCTCCTCAGCTCGTGAACATTTTGTGGTGGGGGTCCCGGGCGTATACCCTTGCCATTTACCCGAAAACCCAAAAAGTCTATTTCTTCGAAGAAGAAATAACATTTTTTTAGTCGCAATGTTAAACCTGCTTCGCGTAGTAACCCCAAAACTTCTTCCAGCCGACCAAGACCTTCATCGAAATTTCGTGCCGGTATAAGCACGTCGTCCATATAAACGAGTACGTACTTTACCTTAGATTTAGTTAATATCTTGTTCATCGTACGTTGAAATAATGAAGGCGCATTAGCCAAACCGAAATGCATGCGCGTGTATTGATACTGCCCGTCAGGTGTCACAAATGCAGTTTTGTCTTGTGATTGCTCTGATATAGGTATCTGGTAATACCCAGATGCCAAATCTAAAGTAATAAACAGAGAATTTCCCGACAACATATCTAATTGATCATCGATCAATGGTAACGGGTAATGTTCCTTTCGTGTTTTATTATTTAGGGCCCTATAATCAACACACAGTCTCTTTTCCCCAGTTTTCTTTTTAACAAGTAGAATTGGACTTGCATATGAAGAACTGGATTCACGTATGATGCCTGCGTCAAGCATTTCTTGTACCATCGATCTAACTTCCGCTCGTTCGGGGTATGACAACCTATATGGTCGTAAACAACAGGTTTGCTATCATTTAACTCGATGTCCATTTTCACTATGTCCGTCATTATCAAATCACGTAAACTACTTGAAAAACATGTTTCGAACTGTTTAAGGAGATCTTTTAACTTTGATAATTCGTCGCTAGTTAATTGTTCACCAACATGAAGATCAGATTCTGCGCTGGGATCATCAAGGTTTAAAACGCTTACATCAATGGTACGATTCAAAGGTAATGCACGCGTCACCAACGAGTCCTTTTCCAGGCGAATACAATTTTCCGAAACACTCTGAACAACTAAACAGCCAGTACCATTACTAATACTGTAATCGCCTGGCAATAAATAGTACTGGTATCCTGGTACACCACGTAGCGTTCCGTTTACGTATAAATCTCCCGAGTAGTCACTATCACAACGTATTGGAATAGCAATCATTTCATTTGCCTTAAGCGCCACGTCACTTTGCAAGATTAATTTAAATTTATTCGATGGGTTACGAGTAAAAGTTACAGATTCAAAAGTTTTAGTAATAATAATTCCAGGTTTTTCCGTGAAATCATGACCAACAAGTATAGGATATTTGATAATACTATCATCAACCACGCAAACTTTTATATCATCAGAAATTCCCTGAATCTCCAAAGTTACTGCTGCCAAGCCAAAGGGAAGTATAGTATTATTACCTATCCCTCGTAGTAATGGTAAGTCTTGAATAGTCCATGTCAAGCCTAACGTTTTAGCAACGCTTTGTTGCATTAAGGTACACTGGCTACCCAGGTCTATGTAGCCTTCGATCACCCTACCATTTACATTCACTTGCATTTTATATTTATTATCGTACTCGTTATTATACTTTAATTGCAAGACATTCTTCTCGTGTAAATTATCACTTTTATTTTTGAAGTTCGTTTGAACCCTCGTACACTTTTCAGCTAAATGGCCTAACCTACTGCAAATCGTACATTTTACGATCTTTTTAGTACATTTATAGCTATAGTGTCCCGATTCGTTACAGTTAAAGCAAATAATATTCGAATTAGACATAGGACGCGACTGTCTTTGACCAGTTAATTGGGTATTATTAGTGTAGGCCGTTTTTCTATCTTGAACGCTTTTACATTTATCGTTATCACGGGGTTGCTGTTTAATTGATTGAAAATATTCTAAAACTTGTTCAGGTTCCTGGCATTTAGCAGCCTTAGCTCCCAACCTAATAGACCGATCTTCTATACCATAGAGAATACAATCAACGGCACGCTTACCTTTGATATCGCAACGATTTAGTAAATTTAACTTTTCGTAAAAGTAAAGTTCTAGGGACTCGTTATACCTTACACGTTTGGACAGCATTTCAGTCAACAATTCAGCATAATCATCACTACTGGGAAAGGATTCAATAAGTTTGGTTTTCCACTCGGACCACGAGAACGACATAGTGGGTAACGCTTGGTACCATACTCTAGCTACTCCTGATAGCTTAGGTATTGCATAATGTATGATTTGGTCATCACCCCATTTATATAACTTAGCACACTCTTCTACTTTATGCAAACACATACGTACTGTTTGACCTTTTATCATAGGATCGAATTCTGGCACCACGTTGCCTAACGTAGGAAACTTATTACCGTCAGGGCGGTTAGATGACAAACATTTTACTAATTCTGATAAGATATGTAACGTACTATCCATACCTGCTTCACTCAACGGCTTGTGACGCGACGGTTCTCTCGTTCCTTCAGGCACAGGTGGCTGCCAAAGATCCTCTTGAAGTTCACCTTGATGACGCTTACGGGATCTATACCCGCGTGTACGACTGCCACCAGCTGATTCGCGACAAGGAGTTCTGCTTCTAGTTGAAGTTGGTGTACGACAATGACGTTCTTCTCTTGATTTACTTTTACAACTGTCACTTAATCTCGCGCGTCGACGAGGAGTGACATTATCTTGTCGGCTTCCATCTGAGTCCGTAGAATATGTATTACATCGCTTTTTGTTCAAATCTTTGTCACGACGACTTTTATGGTGCTTTTTATGCTTGGATCTACTTTTTGACTCACGGTGAGAATTTTTTCTCTTGCGATGACGTGAGCGTGATTTTCTATAATTATTGTCGTTTTCTATTTCGGTGTTCATATTTATATTTCAAATCGTCGTAAAATAACACGTGGAAAAAAAAAATTCCTAAATACTTTTAGTATAATACACTATGGGCCTTGTTTATCCCACTTCTGAGATGTAGAATTCACTTCTTGATTAATAAAATAAACGCGGATTTAAAAGATTGACATAGATTTATTCTTCACAAGTTACTCTCTCGGATGTTACAACACGAATGCCTTATGAACTAATGCTAAAATCAACTTTGACAGTTCTCAAAACCATCGGTCATAGACAAATGCGGTATCGATGTTTACATCGATACTTTGCCTTTAAACAATCGATTTCCATAACGAATAATAATAAATCATTATAATTATTACAGAGGCATAAGTAAAGAAATATAGTGATATAATTATCCTTAACATAATAAGTATGTTAACATTAAGTTACTTCTGGGAGTTGAAATATTGATGAAAATCCATTTTAATAACATAAAAAGCTAAATGTAGAAAGAGAAATAGAATTTTTTTTTCATTCAATATAGATTAGAAACAATATTTATTGAAAGTCACTTTTATGTTTAGTTTACCACTGGTTCGGAAAAGACCTCTGTCCTGGGAAGAACCAGCAAGAAACCCAGCTGGACTCTATAAATAATATAGTGGTAGAAGCGCATCAACATCCATCACCCCACTTCGTCCCGTGGGTGTCATAAAAGAATATGTATATCTCATATACAAAATTCTCGTGTCGCGGTGTTTGTTACCAAACTCCTCCGAAACGGCTGAACCGATTTGTATGAAATTTTATGTGCATATCGGGTAGGTCTGAAAATCAGCTAATAGCTATTTTTCAAACTCCTAAATATTTTATTTTTTTGACAATTTTTTTTATTTTTGTTATTTTATGATTTAGCATTGAAATTACATGAAACTTCAAATTTTCACGCTTCAACGATTAACTCCTATTTTTAGTCGCTATTTATAAATAAAAAAAAATCCTAGAAATAATGTATAAATGCTAAAACAACGTATGCAAAATTTCATTGAAATCAGTTCAGTAGTTTAGGAGTCCATCGCGGACAAACAACGTGACACGTATATATATATATATATATATATATATATATATATATATATATATATATATATATATATATATACATATATATATATATATATATAGAATCTTAGCAGTCTTTTCTGCTTACTAGAGACAAAAAACACATGTCGTATTATCGATGGTGGATTATCTTCGCTAGTGAAGCGGTATTTGGAATGAAGATGATACTGCACGCAATTGAGTGAGACAGGGGGTGGTCTTCAAACTAATCAAGTAAATATTAACATCTTTAATGAAAATACGGTTGATTCATAGCAGCTGTGTAGTAAAAATCCTTAGTATTAATTAGTACTAACAAGTTTGTGTAAACTCAGAGTAATATAATTTAATTTTACTTATAATAAGCCGTTTAATCATTCTTAACTAATAAGTAACCACCTATATACGCCCCATATCTAAACACAAGCATGCCCTCTTTTATAAATGAGGTCATGGAGCCTGGAAAAGTTAGTAGAGCTGTCCCTCTTCCTCGTTCATAAATCACCGACAAAAATAATCTTTTCAGAAATACATAGATATCTAGAATATTTTACTTCACCGCCAAACACGTGACACTGGCCGAATCATAATTTAAAATAATGGTTAACATTAATTATTATTCAAGCGTTCAATCCCTGGCACCACAGCTCAAACTTACAAAAGACTGGCTGTTCCCCGCGATTTCGCCCGTGTGGAATTTTTTTAGCGCGAAACCTTAAACTAGAAACGACCTTAGTTACTCGTTATTACTTCAGCTATCTGGAAGTGAAAGTCACATCCAAATCGGTTCATAGGTTTTTGCGTGATGTGTGTTCACGCCAACATAGCTCGCAGATGACAAATTTTTTCAGACTTACTTAACATTTATCGTTATTATTGGCTAATTTACACAATATATTTATAAGTTATAGCTTACGTGTTATTATCATAATGATGATGTGATATTACATCCTCACAAACTATCACATTTATAATATTAGTAGGATAAAGGACCCCTATTCATATGTCAGAGTTTTATAATATACTGAAACTGAAGTATGGTTCTCAGCGGTGGTTTAATTAGTAAGGATTCGAGTTAATTAAACAAAAACAATTGGAGAGAAGCCATGAAATTTTCTGTCCAAGTTTATTACATATTTCCATGTTTCTTTTGAAATTTATATTTTATAAATTGAAGCCTTTATATATTACTGTGCAGTGGCGGTATAAAAATATTCACTACCACATATCGTCCCGTGGGTGTCATAAGAGGCACAGGGGAAAAATCATTAGATGGACAGCAGCGTTTTCCTAAAACGACTAAACATAAAAAAAATCGGATTGGCACCCGCTTGCCAAGCGTGACCGCTATAGTAAATATCAACCATACGAGGCATTTTATGGGAGAGGCCTATTTCAGCAGTGAAACTGTAACGGTACATATAGCGTTTTTTTATTTCTTCATAGCGTAAAAATGCAGTAACGCAAATTAAACAAATTTGATTGTAATATAATGCTAACTAACTATATATTTTCCCTCTCAGTTGTGTGTCATTGACATAAATACAATTGCTGAATTCAAGTGCCAATTAAATTTGTGCAAAACCACTAATTAATGATTTCCAGTTCTAGTTGTATTATAATTGTCGAATAATCGTAACATATTACATCGGGCACGAGTAGATTAGGACAATAGACTATCTCTCCTACGTTTTGTTAGTGTCCATTTGTAGTCCAAAGTAAGATTAGCTTTTTCTGTTCGAAAATTAGCCCGTAGGTCATAGTTAAAAATAAATTTATTTTCTGCGTTTATTTCGGTGTTATTTATTTTATTTTCAGAATGATTATGATAAATCCTACCTCCCAGATATAATCTTTGCAATCTTTTAACGTTTAAGGAACAATATAAAGGGTTCAAAATACCTCTTCGTTTTCCTACTAGTTTGTGGCAGCCATTACACTAATTCCAAATATAATGACTCAGATACTAAGGACAAGTTAGGGACGAGTTTGATGAAGCATCCAAACAAAGGGGTGTTTTATACAAGTTATAAGCGGAGTGTGGAATGTTACTAAATGTAATGTTTCAAGTGGAATTTCTTAAGCCTATAACTTACACTAGTGAACACGCCTCATATATTGTATAGTAAGTACCTTTACTTCAGGAAAAATAGGCCCCACTGTTGAGTAAAGTCTTCCTCTCATTTTTGATAAGGTTTCATAGCAATTAGCAGAAAGTTATATATAAGTATATGTGGTAGAGACACGCTGCAGCTATATTATAATGGTTGTAGCACGAATTGTTCGGCTCGACCAGGTATGGACCACGCTCTCACAGAATACCAGCGTTAAATAGCAGCTTAATACTGTTGTGTTTCGTTTGCGAGTGTTGAGAACCGGAGACCCTTTTTACTGGAAATGAGGCGTTCTTTCTTAGTGCTCAAGGGTGACAGCTTATCGGCATTTTGATTATTAATTGAAAATAGGTGGACTCCGTGCTCGTATCATCATTATTCTATAAAAAATTCGGCAGTTACAGTTACAATTCATCATCATCATTACAGCCCTTCACAAGTCCACTGCTGAACATAGGCCTCCCCCAAGGAATGCCACAAAGCACGGTCCTGAGCCACCTGCATCCATCGACTTCCTGCATATCTTACCAGGTCATCACTCCATCTAGTGGGGGGACGCCCTACAATTCGCCTGCCGGTACGAGGCTGTGACTCGAAAACCTTTCTTCCCCATCGGTTATCGGTTCTTCGAGCTATTTGGCTGGACCATTGCCACTTCAACATACTAATTCTTTGGGCTATGACGGTTACACTAGTTCTACTGCGGATATCCTCGTTTTTAAGTCTACAATGCACAGAAACGCCGAGCATTGATTGCCCTTTCCATAGCTCGCTGAGCGACATTGAGCTTCCTCATACAGCCAGCAGTGAAGGACCACGTCTCACTGGGTCATCACTGGCGACACGCACAGGTTGAACAATCTAGAATCCGCCGATTGAACTCTCGGTAGTAGTTGGACTTACCTAGTCGGACTATTTGTCCCAAGTAAACATATTCGTCCACAACTTGGAGCATAGTGCTCCCAACAACTACCAGCATAGGTGTGACATGGACTTTAAACATGATTTTTGTTTTGTCCATGTTCATCTTAAAACCTATCCGTTGGGAGATACTATTGAGGTCATTGAACATAGTGCTTAGGTCCTCCAGCAATTCTGTCATAAGGACTATATCGTCGGTAAATCGAAGGTGAGTGATGTACTCGCCATTGTTGTTGATACCGTATCATTTCCAGTTCAGTAGCTTGAAAACCGTCTTCCAATGCAGCGGTGAAGAGTTTCGGAGATATAACGTCACCCTATCCCACACACCTCTCTGCAGTTGGATAGGTTTCGTACTCTGGTTCTGTACTCGGATAGCCATCGTAGCCCTACTGTACAAACACTTGAGCACTTCGATATAACGACAGTCTACTTGACACCGCTGGAGTGACTGCAGCGCCGCCCAAATTTCGACGGAATCAAAGACTTTCTCATAGTCCACATAAGCCAGACGTAGTGGCTAATTGTACTCTTCGAACTTCTGTACAACTTGCCGAAGGGTATGTATGTGGTCTATGTTGCTAAAGCCTTTTCGTAATCCGACTTGTTCGGGAGGCTGGAAGTCGCCAAGTCTGCACGCGAGACGATTCGTAATGACTCTCGTAAACAGCACCTAGACGCGGCTCAGAAGGGAAATCGGTCTGTAGTTCTTCAAGAGAGCGTTGTCACCTTTCTTGAAGAACAAGACCACCGCACTTCTGC